TCTCCTCTTACCCCTATTGGTGGTATGTGTCTTCCTCAATCTCAGGTGCTCTGTCAGAGGCCTGGGGGTTTGAGGGATCTGCGCAGTATCTTAGCCGTTCCTAGCACTGCACTCTTCTGGACAGAGAGTTCTAATGTTGTTCCTGGGATCTGTTGGAGCCACCCTCCCAGCTTAGGAATCACAGCCCCAAGTGCTCCTACCACCACCACTGGGACCACTTTGCCCTTTACTTTCCACATCCTCTCTAGTTCCTCCTTCAGGCCCTGGTACTTCTCCAGCTTCTCATACTTCTTCCTGTTGTTGGCACCACTACATCTATCACCACTGCTGTCTTCTGGTTCTTGACTACTACCACGATGTCTACTTCATTGGCCAGTACCTGCCTATCCATCTGGACCTGGAAGTCCCACAGAGTCTTAGTCCTGTTATTCTCCATGACCTTCTGTGGAATCTTCCAAAAACAAAAACAGAATCTATTTTCCACAAGAAACTGTTTGTTCTTTATAATTAATTCCAAAATCTTACTGTAAAAGTTTCAATATTAGTCCATTTATAACTTTCTAAGATCAAAATTTTATTTAGTTTTTTGCTGTTTATTTCAGATTCTTTAAATTCTTAATCATATGATTAAAATTTTCTTTCATTCAGGATTGAAGGCATACTCATCCAGCGTTTTCAGACCTGTCAGTCTGAAGGTCTCTACTGTAATAGCTTAGAAGTAGTTAATGAGCAATTTCCAAAAGTGATTAGAAAGTGAAGTTTGTGAACTTAGTGTCCTTTAAAAGTCTCTGCTGCAGTTGCAAACAAGATAGCTAATCCTGTTGTTTTCCAGCACTCAAACCCACAGAAAATTGCTGTCCTGCTATCTTCTCATGAGGAGCAGCCATCAAAAGCACATGTGGGCAATCTCTCATCCTCTCCTTATCCGGAGAGGTTCCAAGGTACTGGTCTACTCACTAGTTCATTAGTCTTTGCCACAGCCGTCAGTTCCACTTTCACAGAGCAATCTTCAGTTTGCCATACCTTCCCCAGAAGTCAGAAAAGGCATGCTTCCTAGATCTCATAAGATGACAAGACTTAAAGGAAGGAAGGAACCTGGGGCATGCTCTCCCTGTGGGAGCATGTGGGGCAGGCAGATATTCTTGGGAGAAGGCAGTCCTATGCCAGGCTATTGATGTTTCTTCCTCCATTGTTAAAGCCACCTTCCAATTCAGCCTCCTTCAATATATATTCAGCATATAGTTTGAATAAATAAGGAGAGAGTATATAGCTTTGTCTCGCTCCTTTGCTAACCTGGAGCCAGTCTATTTCACCATGTTCCATCCAGAGTATGAGTACATGTCCTCTACATAAATTCCACATGCAGA